TTGTTTCTTTGCAACAGGCCGCTGTGCGGCTGTTGGCAGGGCTCTAGAGTGAGCCCCAAGACAGAACGGAACGAGTGAGTCCCCTAACCGACCGATGAGCGCCAATCCGTTAGTGCTAGTATTCCCGATCAAAACTGTCATAACCACTCAGTTGATTAGGGCGTTAGACTTCTAACCGACCGGTCGCGGGTTCCAACCCGCACCACTTGGGGTTGAGTCTAAGTGGCTGGTGAGTCAGAAGTAGCCATCCCGGTCTGATTTGTCTTTGTTAGTGATGTTCTTCTGTTTGCAGCAGTTAACATCGTTACTATCACTGTAAGTTTATTCACTGGCAAGTCAGCGTCTCTTTGCTCATTATGAGCTGAAATAATATTCGAATTAAGGATGAAAATGACGTATCTATGTGAAAGGCACCGTAAGCCGTTCAAACTCTGTACGTTTCGGCTGATAGTGCCGATGTTTCTGGACAACAGAAAGAAAGTAAGTATAATCAGTATTAAGTTGTATTTGCCCTTTCTTCTCTCCCAGCGTCTTGCACATCATTATTTCAAAATGCAGTGTCTGCCTATAACGCCGAAGTTGTTGTTTTCTTGCTGCCTCCACTTAGTGGCCACAGCGCTATCTGGTTTGACGAATCCTTAAAGTACGGCCGTAGCGAGGCTACGGACACATTTGACAACCCCGTCCTCTGCGGGCAGTCCATGCATGCAGCCAAGGGGGTTATTTCGCGGATTCCTTCAAGCAAATCCCTTCAGCCGAACGATGTCTGTCTTTCGAGCGTACCCTTCATTATCGACCAACTGGAGGTGTGGGAGATGTGTACCTGACTTCCAATACTTTACCTTCTGTTTTCGCTCTAGTCATGGTAGACCTAGACTAATTCTTGTTCCTCCCAAACCCCTCTGGCCGGTGATAAGGAGGGTGGAGCGTTTGCTGCTAGTCACACAATCTCACACCGCTCTGTTGCTTTGTTCTGTGCGCAGTTTTAAGGTGTATCTTACTCTCTCTTCTTTTTTACCGCTGACCTCCAATCAGTACGAACATATTGCGTTCTTCTTTATTAATATGTTTGTTGGTCGTAGGTGTTCATGCTTTGAATTTATTTTTTCTCCGCCTAATATACATTTATTTTGCGTTGGATGATCAATTATGGGGATGCCGCACACATCCCATGTGATTGCCATTTGGTATAACGGAAAGGGGTTACAGTAATAACTAAATGGGTCCTTGCTGAGGTCTGTAGACACTTAGATGAATTTGTTGCGAGGTAGAACGAATAGGGCGAGCGACGCACTTAGTTAACCTTAGGTCCTCATAAGTGATCAACTAAGGAATATTAATCAATTATTCTCGCTTTCTCTTCTATTGCGTTCGGTCGAATGCCGACCAAATTTTACATATCACAGAGCCAGCAGTGCGCCCAATTTTGGCTTCCACCACGTGGCACTGGGAAATAAATCTGATTTTCAGGCACTAAGAAGCGGTAAACTCTCCACACAGGATTATCTTGATATAGTTCAGTATATTTAGGGTAGTAGACAATGCCTTTT